ATTCCTGGCAGAAGAACCAGCATGTGCAAAGGCACAGAGGCAGAGGTCAGGTCAACACAGTTCCCAAAATCAGGTGGCCAGAACAACGGGGCAGGGGGAGAGACAGGATATGAGGCAGAAAGCAGAAGGTCCTGGGGCATCTTGACATGGCCACAGAAGTAGAAATGGACATATATATGAATATATAACTTCCCAAGTGTAAAACTCTAAGATTCAGGAGCTATTTAACAACCTCTCATGTCCTTCCAATGAAGACAGCCTTGCTGGGACTGTCGTTTAGAACTGTATTTGTCTCTCCCTGGCTCTGTTCATTGTTGCTCCACTGCCCCACATCAGTCGCTCTTTTCCTACCCAGTCCAGAGAGGTTTCTGCCCAGCAACCCATAGCAGTAGACAGCAGATACCACTGAAAGCTCACTCAGCAACAAGATGGACCAGCAGATGGTGTAATGGTTATGTCACTGGACTCCCACGTAGTCAACTGCAGTTCGAGTCCTGGATTGAGTGGCTTAAAACTCATGCCGGGCATGTGTGCGTGCATGTGTGCCCAAAATCCCAAGAGGAGACTAGAGGATAAGCCACTATGGCATGGCCATCTCCCCCGGGAGGGTGATTTCTCACTTTCTGTCTCTCTCTCTGTCTCTCTGGAGAGTCCACGTGCCCTATACCAAAAATCTCTCTCTAGAAAAAGAATAAAAAGATCATTCAGCAACAATCAAAGGTGACCCAAACAAACGGGTATGGCTCAGTAACTGCTCGTGTCCAAGTAGGTGTACTATTAAAGAAATACAGACTTGTTTCTGCACTGTGACTGAGAGTTACCAAGCATAACTTTTTAAATTATTCACTTAATTTTACTTTTCATTATTATTAGTTTTTAATTTGCTACGGGGAATACACACTCGCCAAAGAGAGACAAAGTGAGAAAGCAAGCTGCCAGGTCCTGGAATTGAACCGCAGTCGGCCATATGAGAGTCCAGCACCATAACCACCATGCTACCTACTGGCCCTCTCATGTGTAAAATTTTAACCAAATGACCTAAAAACTGCTGTAAAAATTGGATGTATATTCATTCATTCCCTCATGGCAATTAACCACACGTCAAAACTAAAAATCCACCACAGATCATGACGAGATGCATAATTTATCATGCACTCGTTCACCTACTCATGCAATGAGTTGTGCTGGGCAGTCTACAACAAAAGGGCAGCTCTAACAGGGCTCCTGCTACTAGAAAAAACAAGTTAATGGTGGAAAGGTCCAACTGCAGGACTTTTGTCCTGCAGGACAAAGAGTCTTTATGTTTATTGCTCATCAACGGCATGCAATTAACAGAACCCAGATTTTATAAGTGGAAAAATGTCATCTTTGTTAGAGCTTTTTAAGGTTTTTGTGATAGGGCATGAGCACTCCCCAGAGAAGAGACAGAGAGCAGGAAAGTAAGAAATCACACCCTGGGGGGGGATGGCCATGCCACAGTCCCTTCTCCATCCTCTCAGGATTCTGGGCATGCATACACATCTAACCAGCATGATTTACAAGCCACCAGGTTCGGGACTTGAACAGTGGTTGGCCATGTGTGAGCCCAGTGCCTTCAACACACCTACTACTGGCAAGTGGTTTAGAGCTTTTTTTTTTGAGAGGGAGAGATTTTTGTACCTGCTGGAGAGACAGAGACAGTGAAAAGTCATCCCCCAGGGGGATGGCCACGTCATATTCCTTTCTCCTCCATTTTCTTCTTGGAGTCTTGGTTGGGCACACATGCACACATGCTCGGCGTGAGATTTTAAGCAGCTGGGTCCAGGATTGAACTGCTTTCAGTTAAGTGGGAGTCCAATGATGCAACCGTTATGCCATTTGCTGGTCCTGGTTTAGAGCATTTTCAATCATAATGTTGGTTATCAATTATTTTATGCATAAAATATGTCACGAAAGTTTGGTCATAAATAAACTGTATTTAAATTTACATTATATCCAAAGCCTTGTTTTTTCTTAATTACAGCATCCATGAACAAACCTCTTCATAAATTTATGTAAATTTTACTGTCAAAGAGTTGTGACTTGGTAAATTCCCACAAGCTGAACTATTGGATCTAAGGGTGTGAACTCAGCTCACCCGTGCTGACCACAGCACTGAGCCTCTGAATCGGAGCTGATCCTTCTCAGAACACTACTCTTAAGGACCAACAAGCTCCAATTCCAAAAGTCATGGCCATGTCGTATCAGATCAGTTCTCAGGACCAGAGGGCAGATTTGGTCTGTGTCAAAGATTTACTTGAAGATAGGGTGAATCAAAGCAGGATTTATAGTGATAGCCCAACTTCAACTGGTCAAAAGCTCAGTGGGCCAAAGAGGTCTAGGATTAACAGACTTGGTCCCCTAGAGCTCTGTGGCAGAGAAGAAAGCACAAATTCTGTGTCAAAAACACAAGCTAAAATGTTCCAATGCCTGCAGTGGGCTGAAGCTTCCGAACTCCCCAGCTGAGCCCGGTGCAATGCCAGCTCCTTACTGGAGCCTCTGGAGCAAAGCTGATCTTCCCACAGTGAATGTGCTTTTTCAAGAAATGTGTTCTAAGGCACTGCAGGGCTAGGAAGAAATGGTGATGTCTTCTGGGTTTTCCAAAGAGATCAAACTATGATGAAGCAAAGCATCCAAGAACATTAGTGAAAGGAGTGCTGGGAAATTCCAAGAGCACACAAACCCCACATGATCTAGGTAATCACAGGGATGGACGAACACAAGATGCAGTCGTCCTCCCTACTCGTAACCTCATAACCTCTCCCCGTGCAGCTCTGGATAGATGGGCCCCTTGCTAGCCATCGGCCAGCACAGCCATCTGCCCCTCACTTAGACCTAGGTGATGGCTAATATCCACATCCTCGATCTGTCAAAAAGTGGGCTCGCTTTTGGAGGCAAAAATAAAGATAAAATCCCATTCTAAGTTGTCCCAGAAGCAGTCTCGGGACTTGAAGTTTGGCAGTTGGAGAGTACATTGCATAAACAAAACGGGCACCCAATCGAAGGTCAAATAAATTGCACAGAGGCAGTGCAGACAGGGTCTTTTCAAATTCATGAGGGAAATGATGCTTTCTGAGAGCTACCGGGGAAATCTGAAACAGAAGCAATTA